CAACCATTTACTATTTAGTTAGTTGATGCAAAGAGCACAAGATGTTTTCTTCAATTTGTAAACAGGATTGTCAGGGTCATTTCTTAACTAGATCTGACTTTAAATTATCTTGTATTATTTCAGACAGCTTAAAAGCTGAAACCTTTGACTTACGTATCATAAGGTAGTACGAAAATGAGATACATCAAGTAATATAATCAATAAGAGCTAAATAAGATAATCAGGTAGAGGCAAATGTTTATCATTCAAACCAGCAAGAAAATGTGTCACTAATGAATTATAACGGGACAAGTAAGCAAGAACTCATCTAAGTGTTTCGGAGCACGAAAACTAAGTATCAAAAATGGAAATATTTTATTGTCCTTAGATGTAGCATCGTTATTCCTTATTCTTTCAATCATAGAGATAGTCTATGATACATCTAGGAGCAGTCAAACCAGAACACCGCACAAATCCATGAATTCACTGATACCTGGATCGAGTCATGTTGGTAGATGTAGGCTGTCTGGTTGGAGTCCGCCAGATGATAGTAACCAATGGTTAGAGACCTTGAAACATATGGCTCAAAACCGTTTGCAATGGCGCAGGTGTATACATCCGTTATGTTCTCTCAAATCCTAATCTCTTTTTTAATTGATTTCTCTGCAGTATACATCTCGAATGGTATATTCGGTCAATAATCTTTTAGATTACTGCTAATACTTCTACTACTATGGGATTTGAATTGAAAATTGTGTCTGTGTGCTAATATGATATGGCAACTTGAATTGATGTACGTATGTACCTAAGTACGAAGTTCTACGTTGTACCTGACTGACTGACAACAGATTTATGCTATCATTCTGGTGTTAAGTGGTAAATATTATATAGTGCTTTGTAAAACCGGTTTATCCCCTCAGTAACCACGATATTTATACAATAACGAATGGCAAGTTTATTCCATGATAATTACGTTGTTGAAACGGTTTTTTTTCACGTCAGCGGTCAGTCATTAGGTTCGTAGAGTGAAATTAAACAAAACTTTTTGTAATGAGCAATATTTCTGATAAGAGATAATGTAAGAAAATGAAACACAGTGCCGATAACTGCAAAATTCTACGTTTTCGAACAAAATTTGTTCTTTTACACATAACTAATCTCTACTAAATTGTTGACAAAGTAATGGCTTACTTATAAGTTGTAAGTAGCTTAAAATCCTTGACATCAAAACTTGACCGTTGAGGATTTGTTTACTTGTTCAGCATGTTTAATACACGAATACACTTGGGTAGGTAGTATGAAGGTTGATTGAGCTTCCCTTATAAATTTAAGAAATCTAAATGAGTTTCAAGTTTTATAAACAGTCACCTAGATGAACATATTCATAGTGAGAATGAAGAGACAAGTGATTTTGAATTTTCGAGAAGTAGTAGGAAATCAGGTAACTGTATTGAAAGTCATCGATGGTTAGAGACCTTGAACGAGATGCACTGGCGCAGTTGCATCCATTCTCTATGTTCTCTCAAATTTTAATCTTCTGAATTCCTCATCACCTCTATCTTCACCTTTCTAAAGTTATCTCAGTGAATTTTACTTCATGAATAATATCTTCGAACCCTAATATTCTCCATAACTGCTAATACTTCTACTATCTCTACCACTATGGAATTTAAACTGACAGTTGCGTCTTTGTGCTAATGCGGTCTGGCAACTTGAACTGATGTACTTACGTAAGTACGAAGTTCCACGTTGTAACTGACTGACTGACTAACTATATTGAAGAATTTCACTTCGAATCAAACATGTTTCTTTATCAAACGTCGACTGATTGCATGAAAAAATTTAGCAATAACAAACTGCTAAAAACAA